TTTATTCTTTCTCGATACAACTTTGCAATACACAGAATTTCCACAGTCACTTTAAACTTGACTACTTTTATGAACACATAAATCACAGTGATCCACACACTTTACTTACGGTCACTACCGCTCACTTGACTCGATTATCTCTACCTTCAATCTCTCTATCTATCTAATTCTGCTTTATTTGCCGGGCTTATATACTAAAATAGAGGGTGCCTTGATGCTCATGGAAGATATCAGAAATATATAATTCAATCCACACTGTCTGACTTTGTTGAAAAGCTGGTGGGATGAAAAATGAAAACTTCATTAATCTAACATACTTGTTAATAGTAGTATATGTAGACTAATTTGAAAAAGTGGAGAGAGGGGGCACGTGTCCCTTCTGCCCTATGTGTTAGTCACCTATGATTCAACTCTTTTTAGAAACACTTTGAATCACGCTGTTTTTCTGTTTTAATGAAATTCTTTTACCAATCTTTGGTCTTCTCTTATTTGGTTTTAGTAATGCCAATTGCCAAAAATAGTGACATCTGTTGCAGGTATTAGTCATTGTAAAATAGTAAGAAAATAGGGATTAAGTGGCTCTATTTTCTCCTGAACTTATGCAATAAAAAAAAAGAGTTGATGATTTTTGGTTCTTTATTTCTGGTTTTTGCCCATACATTTTTAGTAAATAATAATGAAAACATATATATTTAGTAGTTTATTTACAAACCTATAGTGAAAAGAAATGTTTTTACCACTTAGAAAGTTAACACTTTTTATTTGTGTGTCTAACCTTTGAAGTTAAAAACATGTACAGAAATTGATGCATTGCACTTGTTTGCACATTTAAAAAATAGCTGCATGATAAGAAAAAACAGAGTTAAATTTGTTTTTGTTGCAATTGCCTGTGTTATTGTCACATATGGTTAGGTTGTATGTGTTTAACAGTTTTGTGTGTACAACAATCGTCTAATTTATTTTTGAATGTAATTAATTAAAATCATCTGTTTTATAATACTGCATTTTATAGAAAAACTAAAACAAAAAGCCCCACAAAACGTTTCAAGCCTTATCTATTTAGAAATATAAAAGTATGAATGTACATCTCACACTAATTCATTCTAAAGTAACTTACCTAATACAGTTTATTAAATGTTCCTTTTTATGTAAAATACAAGTAAACCTTTATCAGGCTTATCAAGTAGAACAACAGATGTACAGTTTTGTAGTAAACAAATTGAAAATAACAAATTGTATTTGTATGTGTGAGTGTTAATTCAATTCTTAAGAGTAAATAGAAAAAACAACCTGATGATAATATTTTTCTTTAGCTATATAATAATAATAAAGAAATTCACATTCTTCTTCAGTCTCCATGGATGAAAGTATGGTTGGTACTATGGTGGGAGTTACTGAAGAAAAGGTTTTAGAAATGATTGAATCAGCTTACCCCAACCCTCTTAAGGTGACTGACATGGCTAAGTAGGTGCCCTTAACTCTTATGATAAACAACAATATTTCTACCGGTTTGTGTAGTATATGATTACTACTTCAATGTAATCTTTTCAATTAGATTTAGCTTTATGTTTAGGCTGATAATGCTCCAGTGCTTTTGGTTTCTTTTTGTTCTCGAATGTGTTAGTTCTTTTTTCATAATTTTTATTGTATTCTGTTTTTTGAAGCATATAACATAACAAATTTTTTTTTTTCAAGAGTTGTTTATGAAAACATTTTACCAAAAAAGCTGCAATATTCATAGAATAAAAAGAAATGTTAAAACTGCTACAAGGAAAAAAAAAGAGAAAAATGTGTGTAAATCAATATTTTAACAAAAGTTTTAGTTTGTTACCCATCACTATGTTCAAAGTAGCAGAAACGCTGCCCTATGGGTGGCTCTTTGTGCTAGTAATTACTAATCATAGTATTTATAGTATTTTTAAAAAAACTTTAGAAAAAATTGAACATTTTCTAAAAAATGATTTTTCTGGGAAGTATAGCATGGAAAAATCAGTTGGGTTGTGCTGATATAAACTTTAATGTTTTTAGGTATTAAAGTGGTACCTTAGATTGAAAAAAGAACAATTCAATTTTTTAGTACTATATTTACAAGTTACATCAATAAAGATAAAATCAGACCCTCTTGTACAATCCTTGTGAAAGTCATGTTCTTGTTGTGAGGCGAGTACTTTTATTTAGAATTGTGTTCTGTTATAAAGAAATGGTTGTTGCATGTACCACAATTATAGTTCTAATTGTCTGAATCTTGTATACCCAAAGTGTGAAATTTTATGAATTTTTGTTTGTGATGCAATTCAATAGATGGCGCCACGTTGTATTTATTATTTCTGTCACATACATTGATACATATATAAACTCTACGTCAATTATAGTAAGATGTTAAAAGTAAATTAATTTCCTTTAAGTTTTCATTAAGTAGTATATCACACTTTTGTATACCATGAAATATTTATTTGTGGTAAGATAAAATTTTTACATTACTTTCTAGAACATTACAGTGTACAGAAGAAGAGGTTCGCCTCCATGTCAGTGAACTAAAGTCAAAAGGAATTATAAAATCATTAGAAAATGGAAGTTACACAAGAGTCACTCAGAATGATACAGGTAGGTAACTCTTCCATAGATGGGGGCTTCAAGGTTTATGTGAACTGCATTAAGTACACTAGTTTTTTTAGGTTGGAATGTTTCATTGCATTAAAAATTATGTTATAGTGTTGCTCTCATTCTGGGATCATGTCCCAACATACACATACGTGTTGTTATTATTTTAGCCATATAGTTGTATTGTAGGAAAATATGTTAAACATTTTGTAGAACAGACCAAGGGCATTTTAGCTAAAATATGAAAAGTTCTATATAACATACAGAATTAGGAACCGTTTGGTCATTCAAAGTATACTCCTTCCTCCCCAAGAAAAGTAAAGATTAAAGTTACACCCTTTAATTTTGAGAAAATAATGATTCTCTTCTTAAACTCTTGTAAGCTGCTGATCTTTAAGGTCTGCTAACAGAAAGTTCAATGAATATCCTGTCATAGCATAAGAATCCGTGTCTCCTTGAACTCTGACTTAGTTCATCATAAAACAAATAGACAGCACACAAAATGTAAACAGAGCAATCACTAATAAACAAACACAATCAAAGTACAAACACAACATACAAAACAAGCACAAGTGTTCATTGAGGATGTGTCAAGTGACAAGAGAGAGAGGATGAAAAAAACTTTTGTTGGTTCCTCACACTATTTCATTGTGAACCTTCCTGTAATTCAAAATGAAAAGAAAGTTAAACTAAAAATAAAATCCCTAAATGTTAAGCAAAGTCTCTAAAAGTTAAATGCAAAATACAAGTTAGACTTAAATGAAAGTTGATTAAATCTCTAAGAAAAGTTGCTTTAAACAGTCTTGGAGAAGCAGAAAAGTCTAACAGGGGAGAACTTGGCTTTAGATGCTAAAATGTAATACATTTCCGAAACCAACTTGCTGCCTCGTAGGAGGTAGAAGAGATTTTGTTTACTGATGTTATCAGTGGCTTTTTTGGCTATATACTGTCTACTAATTCCCCGTCTTTCAATTTTTCTAGCTACGTCATATGGTAATTTGTTTTCCAGCAGTCTCTTTTCATCTGAATAACAATGAAGGCCCTCCATTGTTGCCATTTTTGCCATACTATTGCTGAAGAAATCATCATTCTGCTAGTAGAATTGTAATGAATTTTATATAGAGATTTCTCTTGCAAGCTTGTCAACATTTTCATTTATTTTTAACCCAGCATGGACTGGCAAATACTTCTAGTTGATAGTCTTATCATGCAGTTGCTTTCCGCCATTCATCTGGGAAACAGACACTTTAAATTTTATGTAGTACAAACTGTGAATCAGCTGCAAATATTCTGTTTCTGGGAAATTCTCTGTCTCCATCCTGTTTGTGGGATATTCTCCATCTTCATTCTGTTTGTGGCACTGTTTATTTCTGGTTCCTTGCTTTCAGCAATCCAGAGGAGAATTTGCTTTGCTGCAAGTTTCAGTGCATTGATATCTTTGGTAGTTCTAGTTATAATGGTGTTAATATGGCTGGTGAAGTTGAATAAATTGTTTGTTATGGTTATCCCAAGGTATTTAGTGTTTCTCTTAGGGAAATGGCACTGCCTTCAAAGGATGATGATGGTTTATCCTCATCGACATTTTTTTTAAATGCAGAACATAGCTGTGGCCAAATTGAAGACCATTCTTGTGTCAGTGTACCAGTTGCTCACCCTGCTAGAGGATGGTTGCATCTTGCTTTAGATTTCAGTTTTGCTGTACACCAAATGTTAATACACAACATCTTGTTGGATTCTCAAAGCAGGCTATATTCATGGTATAGATATTGTAGGGGACTGTCGAGAGAGGTGGTCCTTGACACAGACCAGTATTGATGGTCATCCAATCTTATTGTCAGTTTCAATGCTTCATGATGCATCTTCTGGTAGTTAATGCAGCTATTCTGAACATTTTGTCAGGAAGAATGAGTAGGTGGACCCATCATAGGAATCTTCCATATCTAAAGATATTACCCAGGTGTTCTGACAAGTTTCAAAGCCTTTCAATGAATCAGCTATGAATTCAGCAGCACTGATCCAGGTTTCTCTTCTACCATAATAACCCGCTAATAGTAATGGCAGCAGAAGTTTATTTTTGAAACTTGTTTATTGTCGGATATACAGAGTGTAAGATCTGTGGTTACAAGGTTATCAACATGAAATTCAGATTATTATGTGAATACATTTGTGTCAAATATAGTTCTCTCTCAAGACTAGTGCAAGTTGTGTCACAACTGCATTCCATATTGAAGTCAACATTATCTTCCATAGACTTCAACAGTGTTACTTGTATCTCTGAACAGACCAATACTTTAAATTATACTGTCACTACAAGACATGGGAAGAAGAGCCATTTACTAAATCCATTAAATTTACAAATAAATTTCCATTCCTAAGTGTTCTTGTTAAAAGACATGATAATAAGTTCCCCATTTCCAGTTATCATAAGGATACTCAGACAGGTTTATGCATACTTTGGAACTCCTACCATGATCCTTCTAAAAATTTAGGTATCATTAAAACTCTGTATCATTCTTTCAAGACTATTTGTACCAGTAATGAACATTTTTAATCAAACCTTAACCAATTGAAAACAGAAGTAGTAACCCGAAATGGTTTTTCTCTAGAATTTGTTAACAAAGTCTTCTATAAAGTAATAAAATATTTGAAGTCTCAGCACAAGTCAAGTAATGAACATTCTATTTATTGCACAATTCCTTTTATGCCAAAAGTGTCACATTCAATCAGAAAGTTTCAAGAAAATTATTTGTTTTTATTTTAAATTAACTTGTCTGTACAATTTATGTTTCTTCCTGGCAGAAAACTAGGGCAACTTCTATAAAAACAATACCAAGATGCTGATATCTGTGGTTCCATATATAAAATATATTGTAAACAGTACGATGTGTTTTACATTGGAGAAAACTACAGACAAGTTTCTACCCATGTATATGAACATATCTCCAAGCATGGTTAATCATTTCAACTTGACAATGTTGAAATTCTCAATAGAAAGAAAAATATAAACTGCCCCAAAATAAAGGAATCCTTATTAATTAAACTGTATGAACCTAAAATTGATAAATATTCTGGTATACAGTTGTATCTTTTCTAACCATTGTTTAAAACTTCTAAGGTTGAATTGTTATATACATACATTTATACATTTTATAATATAGTACAATCTGACTATATTAACTGGCATATACTAGAATTATGTTTCAAACACATATGTCACAATGTGAGCTATTTGAAACTGTTGTAGGTTTCTTAACAATTATAAGAATATTAACAGTAGGTTATACAAAATACCAGGTAAATTCTAAAATAATGTTTTCATCCATTATTTCAAATCAATATTTAATTGATTAAACATTGTCTCATGTCTTCTTCTGTCCATTGGTTGGTTGTTGAGAGAAACACATACACTGTTTATTTTATAACAGAAGTTCCAAGTCCTTTAGTGCTATATAATGTCAGCTTAAAATGACCTTCAATGGTGTTTGCAGTTTGACAACCTTTAAATTAATGAACCTCTACAATTTTTCTTTTGACATAATTTTCAGTTTTTTATTAATTTTGCTGATTTCCAGTTGATTTTATGTTCAAGATTCCTTACGTACAGAAAAATAGCATTATATGTTTGACCATTTCCAACATCTTTTTTTTATGTTATGCAGTATTATAAAGCTCAACCAATCAACTACCAATGTATCCATCTGCTAATGTTTCATGTTATCTAGATCAGAAGTTCACTCCTTGTAGGTGTTGTACCTGATGATGCCAGGTTAACCTGCTGAAATTATAAAAGTAACCATAGATATTATACTCTGTATATCCGAAAATAAATAAGTTTTGAGTTTTACATAACAAGGTACTTCTTTTAATTATTTAGATGATCAATCTGATAGGCAAACCTTCTGGCTACATCCTTCTCTGAAATCTTACCATTAACGTTTTGTAGGATGATGATTTGATGGCCTTTAAGACCAGAGTGATCCTTCAAAGGTTTGTGTAAAGATTTGATAAAGGCATCTTTCCATATCTCAGGGATGCTACCTATTGCCCAACTACATTGCTGCTCTGACACCAGTTTCAACAGGTTTTCATTTGTAAGCTTCTTATAGGTGGAGATTCTTACACTATCTGGACCCAGACCTCCATTATTAGATGTACTTAAGGCTTTGTGTAGCTAATCTTCATTCTTGTCTAAGCTAAAGATTGCTTATATACTTGCATGTAGTTGTAGCTCAGATAGGGACTGCTGTAGCTTCGGCTTCTCTTTCATGTTATCTTGGTCACACTGGTTACTGTATCTGTGCATGAAAGCATAAATAAAGTAAGGTACCATCATCATCATAATTGAATGATATAATCATGTTTTGGGTTCCTGTAATAGCCATTAACTTATGGAAGTGCCAGAATGAAGTGCTTGTGAGAATAGCACAGTTTATACCATTTAATGTTTTGTGTTTAGGAAGCTGATCACCTGTATAGAGCACAGACTATTCTAGTGGTATACAGTGAGTTTTCAAGTAGATTGTGCAGTAAGAACCTAATGATGTAACATACCTTAAAGTAAAAACAAGAAATACACATGCACACGCACACACACATATGTAGAATAGTTTTACTCACCCTATCTTTAGATGAAATTCAATGTCATAAAAGTTCTCCTGAAGTAACGTTTTTTCAACTGATATAATGGCTAGTTCTGACAGACATGATTGCAGGGTTGGATCTTTCACATTAATTACGGAATCAAGTGAAGCATGTAATGTCAGTGTTGTTGACCTTGAACTTTCATGCATGCACTAACTGTCATGCTATCTTAACACAGCTTGATTTGAGCTATATTACTTATTAGTGGCTGCAGAAAACAGGATACTAATAGAAGTGCTACGTTAGGTATGCACAGCTTGTGTAACATGAGGCAAGAAATACTTCTTTGGCTCCAGCACAGTGAACACACGATAAGATAATAAAAGGATTACATGTAAGAAGACACATTTTATTCTACAGTATTACTGGCACATTTTTAGTTTTCTGATTGGTCATGCTATGCATGAATTGCATGCCCTGACTATATGTCACTACGCTATTCATGTAATCCTTGCCTCCTTTGCCCAGGCTAGGTCATTCCTTCTCTGCACAAACTCAGCCTGATTTTGATTGCTTGTTTTCAAGGCTTTATGAGCATCACTAATCCACCAGCATGGATTGTTCGTCTTGCAGAAGTCATGGACTTGACTTTGCTTGTTACTAAATAGCTTGGCATCCTTGTAGGGATTTCTATATTGTTTTATGTCATCAGAAAATACTGCTGTTACTGATAATGTTCCTATCAATGTCATTAGTGTAAATAAGAAAAAGCAAAGACCCAACACTGACTTCTAAGGCACTCCACTAGTAACAAGGGTCTAGTTTGGCTATACACTAGTCATAACAATCTTTTTCTTTCTTTCACTAAGCCATCATACATTAAAATTAAATATTATTTCCCCAAACCCACCAATGTGTTTTCTTGAGAACCTAAAAATACCAATTAATAAGAAACATACAAGTTTACATTAGTTACCTGTAACAAAATATCTGAGCAGTTGAGAACTCTTTTTATATCACAGTTTACTCCACAAAAAAGTGAAGAATTGGTCTTGGTTATCAGAATATGAAAAGTTTCAAAATCTCTTTGTTGGTCTGTTATCAACTTGTTTGAGAATCAGAACATCATTTTCTAAGCTACTTTATTGATGTAATACCAACTTGTTTTGAGCAATAAAATCTCACTACTTCTGGAAGCTTATGGTTGAATTAAAAACTAGTCTTGGGTACTAGGAACATCAACTTCTCTGTTAGTTTATATATTTTAGCGCATTGCTTCTGGGTGTTGAGATACTATAACTTTTTTTTACTAAAATTACACTAGTTTCGTGTATTAAAATGATAGGACATCTTTATTCGAATATTATTACACTCATTTTGGCCATGCCATGGTGCACAGAAACTACTGTGGCAGTTAACTATTCAAAACTTTAAAGTGTTATCTTAAAACTTTAGCATCTTACTGTCCAATGTGTCTTATGTTCAGGTCTAAACATTATTGATCATGCAGTTGTAACAAGAGACTACCTCAGTGTGATAAAGTTAAAAGCAAAAGATATAAATGGCAGCATATAAAAATTGTGTGACTAAACAGAAAAAATGGTCATAGGTTGTATTGCATTTTATTCATGAGTACTGTAAAAATGCAGTTTTATTCTTTGAAATTATATACAACTAAATAACATATTACAATCACCTTTTCTATATAGTTCAGATTACATTTATGAACAACTGAATAGTGACTTCAGATAATTTACCAGAAATCATAAATTTAACTTCATTACTTTTCTACAATACATATTACATAGTTTAACATCAGAATAAACATGCAAATTTTTTTTTTTTATGTATTAATAAAAGTTAGTCACAACATTTTAAAAAATAAGAATTTAAAATGTACAGTTGTCCAATATGCTGCAATACTGGTGACCAAGAGTTCTGTCTCTTTGATGTTAAGGTAGGAGTATTACATACTGTTCTTGTAAAGATAACTGATTTTTCAAATTACTTGTTCTAAAATAATTCTTATCATTATAATTAAATGGGCCCGGCATGGCCAGGTGATTAAGGCGCTCTGA